ATGATGCTGCTTGGCCTGCTGTGTTCATCCAGCTCTACACCTTGTTATCTCAGGAACTGCAGATGCTGGAGAATCTACCATCTCTGAGATAAATGCCAGCCAGGAGAAATCCCCAACTGACTTCCAGTAGTGCCAGGGAATCCTTCACATCTCAAGATGGCAGACAGACAGCTTTCATCAGAAAGGCAGCACATTCCCTCAGGGACTGCACTGGTACATTAGCCTAAGTCTCTACAGGGGGGGTTGGAACACACAAGATCAGACTCAAAAGCGAGGAAACTATCACCAAGGTTGTAGCTGGCACCTATAAATTGGAGCATGCTTAATTACCAGCGTGTCCTTCAATCTTTCCTCTGCCTCTCAATGGGGAGCACCTTCCTGCTGCTCCACCCAACAACCATCCCTTGCACATGTGGCAGAATGATTTGCAAAGGATTTTCTGTGCTAACAATGTCCAAGAACTAAGCTAGCAAAGCAGGCTTTACACCACCTCCATAGCCACATCCAACCCTACAGCAAGCCTATTACTCTGTGGCAAGTACACCCATTGTGCACTCAGCTGATCACTGACCCATTTTCAATATCTTCATTTGATGTTACAAAAGGTCAAGTTATTATTCAGCTTTTTATGGATTGTTGGCCAGACCCCATCTGAAGTACTGTATTCAGTTTTGGACACCAGACTTCAAGGAGGGATATACTTGACTTGCTGGGAATTCAGTGCAAATCACCAGAATTAACTAGGAGCTGAAACAGTTAGCCAAGGCTAAGAGGGTGATGATTGGTTGGCAAGATAACAGTCAGAGGTATAGAGTAATCAGCAGGGAACTATAGGCTCCCCAAGGACACAGGGGATTCAAAATGGGCACAAGGCTTAAACAGATACTATTTATTTGCAGGAAATGGATCCCTGCACATGAACATACATTGCTTCCAGCAAGCAGAAGTAAGCATGCTGCAAGCATTGCTGAAAAATCTTGAGTCTGTAAACACACTAACAACCAATTAAGATGTTCAGTTCAGCTTGCAATGGATTCATTTTATTTGATATTAGCTTTTCTATTCAGTCTAGGGATGTGGGTGTCACTTATTTATTGCCGATCCCTACTTGCAGTGGTGAGCTGCTGTTTTGAACTGCTCCAAGTCTGGGCACAAAGGCACACCCAGAGTGCTGTTAAGCGAGTTCCAGGGTTTTGATTCAGTGACACAGTAATGATACAGATCCAAGTAGGGATTGTGTTCCTAAACATCTCCCCCCTTGTCCTTCTTGACTGTAAAGATCACAGATTTGGAAGGTACTGTCAAAGGCAGCTGGGTGAGTCACTGCAGTAAACATTGGGCAAGGGAGTTAATGTTGAAGATGATAGATGCGGTGCCACTCAAATGGGCTACTTTGTCCTGGTTTGTGTCAAGCTTTCTGACTATTGTTAGAGCTGTATACCTCCAGGGAAGCTGAGTATTCCATCACACTCTTATCTCATACCTTGCAGATGGTGGAAAGGCATGGGCAGTCGGGGGCAGCATTCAGACTTGGCTATTAAGTGACAAGAAAAATTCATGCCACAACTGCCAGGCAATTACCATCTCCAACAAGTGAGATCTAACCATCACCGCTCAATATTCAATATTATAATCAGCACATCCCCAACGATCAATATTGTGGGGATTATCATTGACCAGAACTGAATTGAATTAGCCTATAATGTGGCTACAAGAGTAGGACAGAACCTAGGAATACTGCGCTGAGTAAATCAGCCCCTGACCTGCCAAAGCCAGTCCACCATTTACAAGGGCAAAGGTCTACAGTATGATGGAATTCTCCCTACACATAGGTGCATACAGTTCCAACAACACTCAAGCAGCCATCCAGATAAAAGCAGCCCAATTGACTAGAACTCCATCTACCACGTTCAGCACTCACCCCCTTCCCACTGCCAGTGGTAGTACTTGTTCTATCTACAAGATGCACTGCATTAACTCACTCGCGCCTCACAAAACCTGTGACATCCATCATCTTAAAAGGTCAAGGGCAATACAAACATGGGAACACTTAGCACTTGCAAGTCACTCTACAACCCACACATCAGCCTGACTTGTATTGCTTGCCATGCCTTCATCGTCACTGGGTCAAAATCCTGGAACAACCCCCTGAGCCACAATACAGTGGGTAACCATATTACATGGATTACAGTGGCTCAAGGCAGCAACTCACCTTCTCAAGGGCAATTACAATGGACAGTAAATTGCTAGTCAAGTCAGCAAAGCCCAAATCCTGAGAATGAATAAAACGAAAAGGTGGTGAGAATTCGTGGCTTAAGACCTGCTCCTGTAGGCAGAGTTACACAGTGGGGCCTGTCTGCTGCAGCAGGGAGAGTATATGCAAACCTCCACCCTTATTGAATTTTGAAGCCCTATTGTTCGCTCCATAGTGACACCTCTGTCAATTAGAGTTATCTTGCCCACCAACCAATACCCTTTTCTCCTGTAGTATAATTTATGATTGTTTGATATTCTTATGTCTGTCCTGACAAGTACAAGACAAAGAAGCTTCAGCATCATGTCTCTTGTTTCAGCAACATTCAGGTTGTGCTGCCAAGTGACTGCTAAATGCAGAGAAGTTAATTCCCCTCGGGAAAATCCAAAACAAAAATACCCTAATTGTAAGACGTTGTTAGGTCCAGAAACCGTTCTCAAACAAACAGGGCAGTGGAAATCTGGAACTTGTTCCTCCAAAATACTTTGAGCATTGGGTCAACTGAAACTTTCAAGACTAAGTCAATAGATTCTTGTTAGGAGCAAATTACTGCAAGATGTTGAATCTGTACTGAAAACAAATGCTGGAGATCACAGTGGGTCAGACAGCATGGTCCATGGATGCTCTAGCATTTGTTGTCTACAGATTCTTGTCAGGTATCATCCAACAGATGGAAAGCAAAGTCAAGCTGAAGTCATTAAAATACAGATCAGCCACAATCTAATTAAATGGTATAACAGGATTGAAGGGCCACTAGCCTACCCCATAATACACACTGTCCTTTGCAATATATTATCAAACTCTCCCAGGTCAGGTACAGCAAGATTTATATGCAAGGTCAAGCTCTCTTTACACTGCTGTCCAAAACTTACAACTCATTAAATAAAGCATGAGCTCATGCTTTATTTAATCTTTAACAAGCCAATATTCAGTGATGCACAATAAAGCAATTTATCATAATTTCTAACAAACACTCACCTTTGCTTCTCCAAAGACTATGTAGATGTCGGACACCGGACTCTTAAAAACGTCTGGCTTCGTTATAACAAAGAGGATGTTTTTAGACTTTCTGATTGTTATCCTAGTCACACCGTGTACTTGACGCAGCCCCAACTTGGACATAGCCTGGAATGGGAGCAGAGGAAAGAAAAAAGATAAAAGATAGAAACAGAGAGACACAGAGACACAGACGTGTTGGTTTGAATTAGACAAGGATGTGCAGAAGGGGAGAAGAAGAAATGAAATTATGTGGAGGGAAAGATGTTTGAGAGATGACAGGCATTGAGGAACAAGAGATTTAGCAGGGAGAAATAGAGAGAGAGGGGAAGACAAAAAAGGGAGAGAGAGGGGAATGCATACAGGAGTAAGTACAAGAATGAAAGATGCAGTAAGTGATATTGAGAGAGGGGCAAGAGTTTGACAGTGGGTGGGGGGGAAAAGACAGTCAGAGTGAAACAAAACAGCGTGAAGAAATAAGAAGAGAGAATGACAATTTGTTACAACACATTTTTAAAGACCTTGTGGAAGATTACTATTGATATTATCATTGGCTGGAAGCACTGCTTTCCTCGGAAGGTGAGGTTTATATTGGGTGTGAGAATGCGTGGCTAGGTTTAGAAACCACCAATATAAAAAAAAACTTGGCTTGCCAATGAATGACTGTTGTCACACTGTAACATTCTGTATCTCATTTATTTTCAAGAACAATTGTGACCCAATGCACTGAACTTGGTTCAGAACTTAGGTCATATCTCTGTATCTTAATGTGTAATGTGTTGTCATGTGAAGGGAGGAGTGCTTTCTTGTTAAACTGTAATCATGGTTTGATACAACTGATTAGCTTTCTAGACTAAGAATTGGGGAAAGTTACGAATTGGGAACTGGAGTCATGCGTAGATTAGATCATATTAAGCTAACTTTTTATTTTCCCAAGACACATTTGTGAACTGTCATGAACTTGAATGGAATTTACATTTTCATACCTGCCAAAGCACATGAGCTCTGCGCTGTTAGTCCAGTATATAAACTTCTAAACTGTCCTATCCATATTGTTTTGGATCTCATTCATGTCTGTAATTTTGACAATGCATCTTTTATCTCATACATCTTGTAAGTCCATCTATTTGTGGGGTATCTCTGCAAGATTACGCCACTCTTTTGACTCACCTTTCGTGCCTTCTTTTCACTACGGCTCTGCTTTGCTTTGCTGACAGGCTCATCGCCAATCCCAACTGCTTGGGCCAACTGCGACTGGAAGCAACAGATTTTAAAACAATAAAAAGAGAAAAGAGAGCCTTGTGATCAACATGCAAAGATCCCGAGAGAGCTACTGATCTCATTGATGAGAAAAAAGTATGTTGCAGAATGGAAAACACAGTCGACTCCCCAAGAGCCACAATAAAACACAAACCACTCAGGTAAAGTATAGGTGAGATACAAAGTAAAACTTCTTCTACAATATCCCTTCAAAAACATCAACGTTCGGCACGTAACTTGGTTAGAGTAAAACTCTTACCTTGACCTACCTTAAACATTCACAGCTCAATTTGGCTACATTCAGAGTATAGCATACAGTTCTATCATCACACTTTAAGATGTGGAGGGTGCAAAAATAGTTTACCAGGATCTTGCTTGGACTGAAGTCTATTAGCTATAAAGGAGTGTTTGGACAAACTTGGATTATTTTCACTAGAACATTGGAATTTGCGGGCCAACCTAATAGAAATATAAAATAATAAAAGAGCACAGAAAGGGTAGATAGTTGGAGTGTTTTCCCAGAATGGAAATGTCAAATACTAGGGGGCATAGGTTTAAGGTGAGGGGGTGAAAAAGTTTAAAGGCAATAGATGAGGCAAGACCTTTTTCAAAAAAGGAAAACACTGAGGGTAGTAGGTGCCTGGAATAAGCTGTCAGGGTGGGTGGTAGATCCAGAGACAACAGCAATGTTCAAGAGGCACAGAGACAGGCACATGAACAGGGAGGGAATTGTGGGATACATACCTTGTGCAGGCAGATGTACTTAGTTTAGAATGGCATTTGACAGATGCGGTGGACTGAAGGGCTTGTTCCCAGGATGCTTTATTCTATGTTAATATGAATTGGGACAAATTATGCCTCAGGTTAAAAAAGAAAGTCAGTAAAGAAGCCTGACAATGTAGTGTTTGAGAGGTGATGGTTCTGCTGTTTAGGAAAGGGATGAGAGGGAGACCAGGAAATTATATGCCAGTAAGCCTAACACCTGCTGGTGAGATGCTATTTGAGGGACAGGGAAATCCTTTTTAAACAAATTCACAGGAAGAAAAGAAAACTTAACCATAATACCCATCATGCTGTGTACAAATCAAACTCAAAAACAAAATCCTTTGCGCACATTTCAGTCTAAAGTTAACCCACTGCCTTGCAGAGATGCAATGCCAGGAAAAGCCACAGGAAAAATAAAGCAGAAGCAAGCAGGAGACACTGGTGTTTTGAATTGGAGCTCTAAGCCTTTGAATTAAAAACAGTACCATTTAGGACATTACAAATACTGCTTTCTGGGAGTTGTCAGCACACAGCTTCACAATAGAAAATTACCAGAGAAAGCAAAAAACAGATGATTGGTTTTCTGGACAGAGTGAATTCATGATCTGAACAGAAGGCACAAACATAACTAGGTATTAAGCTTCTTTTAAAGCTTGATAGGATGGTGTGTCTTGTCAAAATAGCAAATAAACCTCTGTGCATGAAAAGATTGTATAAGATTGAATGCAGAGATCTTTGCTGCAGCCAGGAGAGATTGGCACATGGTGAAGGAAAGGAGAAGTAGGTAAGTTTTTAAATCAAATCTGACCAAGTGTCACAAGTACAGTCTGCTACTAATGGGTGCTGAGATTACCAGTACCTACTGGACAAGCCATATACACACTGTGGCTACAGCAGTAGATCAGAGCCAAGGAATTCCACAGCAAGTTACTTACTTTCAAAGCCTGTCCACAGGCACAAATCAGGAGGGTGATGAAATACTCCCCAGTTTTCTCCAGCAACACTCAAGTAACTCCACACCATCCAGGACAAGGGACTCCACTGTTTGCTACCTCATGCATCACTTAACACTTTAGTTTTAATTCATTCAGGAACGTTGGAGTTGCTGGCTCAGCCAGTGTTTATTGGCAATCCCTAATTGCCCAGAGGGCAGCTAAGGGTCAAACAATTTGCTGTCAGTCGTAGGCCGGACCAGGTGAGGATGGCAGATTTTGTTCCCTAAAAAGGCCTTAATAAACCAGATGGGTTTTTATGGCAGTGGTCACATGGTCACCATTAGACTCGCTTTCAAAGACAGAATTTTAGTAAATTCAAGTTTCACTAGCTGCCAAAAGGGGAGACAGGAGGCTGGACTTTCTGCCCCACGAGGGGTGGAAACCTCATTCTGGGGCAAACATTCTTTCCCGGGGTGAGACTCCCGTGGGCTTTTGGCAGAGGGTGAAGGGGGGTGGGGGTTGTGAATAAAGTGTGGAATGTGGACCACAAAGCTCCATATCATTCAGCTTTGTAAAAGGAGCCTCACAGTGATAGTCTATAAATTGCTAGAGTCTAAATAAGCATAGGGCGATGAGCACAATATTTTCAGCTGATCAAGGAAATTGTAAAGGCTTCATCCCTAACAAAACTGATTTATTCTTTAGGAGGTTATATAAAAGTAGTGGATAGGGAAATGCCTATCCAAGTTACTTATATGGGCTTCCAGAAGGCATGTAGTAAAGTCTGTGTAAGAGACTGTTGGCTGAAAACATGCCATGTCATATCCTGCAAGAACATATACTGGGGTCTCACCAATTCACTGTAGTTTGAGAATGAGAGAGAAATTTGCAAACAGGCCAGTAAGAATAGACAAAATTCCAAGCAGTACAGGTGAAACCATCAAATTACAGAATATATTTGGAAAGCAAATGGACAAAACTGTGACAAATGACTAAAAATTAGAGCAGGAACTTACAGGATGGAAATCGGGAAGCATTTTTGTTATCCAAAGAGATAAAGGTAGGTATATAGAGTTAAGACGAAGATCAGCCAAGATCTCACAATGTCAGAACAAGCTCAAGGTGTTAAACAATCTATTCCTGTTCCTATCTGGGAATCTGACAAAATGAACAAACGAAGTGCCCACTGTGTTCAGATGGGAAGATCCGAGTAAGAGATACTGCTGTTTTGCCACCTCCCACCAATTTAACCCAGAGTAGGAAGGCGTTCCTACCAAGTCTGACCGAGGATGTATAGGAAAATGTAAGGGGAGATGTAGAAGGCGAGGGCAGTCATACCAGCTAGATAACAGAGGAGAGATGTTAAAGGGCAATGGTGTGGTCATACAAGGCCATGGAGAGGTCAACAAGAATGTAGGAGGATAGTGCATTACAGTCACAGACATGGTAATTTGTGGCTTGACTAGACCCTTTTCTATGCTGTGAAAGGAGTGCTGTAGTCTGGAGTCACATGTAGGCCTGATTTCCTTTCCTAAAAGGACATTAGTGAACCAGACGGATTTTTACTACAATGATCTCATTTCCGTCATTAGACTGCTGGTTCCACATTTTTTTTTTGTATTGTTTGCATTCTGCCATGACCTGTGTCAGCAGAACATTACCTCGGTTTGTGGATTACTAGCCCCATGCCAATACCACCACCTTGCTTAGATGGAGGCTGAAATCACGAAGGATGAGAAGTTATTCTGTGCAGAGGCTGAAGAGAGAAAGCAGGGAGAAACTTGGCATTGGATGCGAGTGAGCAGTAGAGAATGAAGATTTTAAAAAGCACAACACAATAGGCAAGTTGCTTAAAAGGAAAGGAAGGTGCCAGATAAGTTTTGGGGCGGGGGGGGGGGGGGGGGGTGACGGGGACATGATTGTGAAGTTTGTTAATAAAGGGCCACAATATTTTGGCATCATGCACAGACTGTCAGAGGCAGTTTTGTGCTAACTGAAAGTCATGTATCTGGAGGTAACTTGGGTTAGGCAGCCTGGACCTAACAGGTCAGTGGCCACATCCCTGTACAGTCTCAGCCTTTATAGCATGGATCCTCAACCCCAGATAATTTGTTACTGCTTGGACTGTACAGAACCCAGTAGCGGGCGTGCTCGCTGATAGGAGAAGCTTTCAGTAGAGATGGGCTTTAAGAGTAATGCAGGTGAGCCTGAGGTATACTGTGATGTACCAGTCATCTCAGTAATTCTGTGACAGAGATTTTACATGAAAATTGGTTCTAAAAGTGGCTTAGAAATATACGTGACCATCTTCCAGTGTACAATATTGATAGGGATTCTATGAATATTTACAGTGTGGAAGCAGGCCATTCGGCCCATCAAGTCCACACCAACCCTCCGAACAGCATCCCACCCAGACCCACCCCTACTCTAAGCCTGCATTTCTCATCCTAGATGCTATGGACAATTTAGCACGGCCAATCCCCCTAACCTACACTGACACGAGGAGAATGTCCGAACTCCCCACAGACAGTTGCCAGAGTCTGGAATCGAACCTGGGTCCCTGGCGCTGTGAGGCAGCAGTGCTAACCACCGAGCCACGGTGTTTAGGTTTGAAGAAACACCTGGAAGGTTTGCTTGAGCTTATTTGAGAAGAAAAACTCCTACAAAAACATTTTCCCCTCGGTTTCCTACACTGTTACAAGTTGTCACAATATGCCACTTTTCAAACATAAAATTAAGTGGCACAGTTTTAAGGGGAGGGGCAGATGCAGAGCAACCTGGGGGCTCACACGTACACCATCTTTGGAATAAAAAAAGGACAAACTGAGAAGTCATACATTTTGGTCAAGTCATTCATATCCCTGGACTTCACAAATAGAATCCAAGTACAAAAGCAAAGAAGTTATGCGAAACCTTTATAAATCACTGCTTAGGCCCCAAGAATATGCAGCTAATCCTGGCCACCACAGAAAGGACATCATTCATTAAAATTTAAAAATAGGGATATGGGATTTCATATACACGAGGCAAAAAAAGACAGGTTCTCAATACAGGGAAATTTAACAAGATTTAGTAAAATAGGTATTCAGAAGTTAGGAACAATGGAGATAGACTAAATAGGGAACTGGTTCCAGCAGCCATAGGCTCAGTAACCATTAAAACAGCAAGGGAAGACAAGATGGTTTAACTTTTTACGATACACTATGTTATGATTTGGAATGTGCTACCTCACGAGGACAGTAGATAGAGAATTACTAAAACTTCCAATAGGAAATTGGATTAATACTTTAAAGA